TGAGGACAAAGATCGTTTTAAATGCTAAGATAGTTCCGCTCCCCTACTGCAGCCAGCTTGTGGAGGCAGAGGCGATCTCAATTGGCTTGCTGCTGTATGCGTCGATGTGCTGCGCGGTCGTAGTGACTGGCTAACTCTAACTCTCAAACCTCTATGGCGAAACGTTAATTCTGAACTCCTTGGGACATGCAGGCTCTGATCTATGAACTGGCAACATCAAAGTCAATTATTTAGGCTTGTTTTTTTTTCATTTTTGCTTTCTATATGTATTATATTGTTATAAAGCCGCTTGGTTGCTTGTTTTATCATTATTTCATTAATCAAATTAACAAAAATAAACAGAGTAAATACAGTCTAATAGGAGCAACTTCTGACTGTATGTGTGCCTTGTAAGATGTCCACATTTTTTTGTCTCCAGTCTTTATGCGGGTCATCTTTATTTTCTAGTAAACTTAGACCTAAAAGGTTGTTGTTAAATGTTTTGCTCATTCTTGAAATTGTGGGGTTGGCAAGAACTGTTCAAACCCACTTTACTTGAAAGATAATATGAACATTGTCAGATGTGTACAAAATGCAACAGTTCATTTTCTGGGTGTATAATTTGTGACAATTTCCGCTGCACATGCAAAAATGTGAAATTTGTCTTCAGGAAAACATGCTGAATTTTTCCAAGCGGGGGCTCTTGACCGTTGTCCTCACCAATGTGGCACGTATCAAATTGAGAATGCGGTATCTAAGTTTCTTTATGTAGGGCAGGAAGTGTCGTCCCCTTTACTAGCTACAGCCTCTGACCCTCAGACCTCAGCTAAGCTTTCTCAAAGACTCTACACACTTTAAGAGAAATTATAATCCTCAGGCCTCTGTAGCTTACTGGAAAGTCACATTTAAGCTCAATTTAAAGCAAGATAAAGCAACAATAGACCTTTTTCACAGCAGCCATTTTGACATTAAATAGTAGGGTACACACAGGTTTATGGTCTAAAGTGGCTCAGCTTTTACCTGCTTTCTCCTGCTGATTTCATTCATAGATTGAAACAGTAGCCATTCTTTTGTTGTCTTTCCATATCCATGTATATTTACAGTAAGTGACTGGCAGTGCAGCTACTGTTATTGTACTGTAATGCAATTTACAGTATACAATACTATATCACTGCAAAACAGTATTTTACTGAAATTCTGCCTATTTCTGATGCATTGTATTATATTGTGCTGTATTATATCCAGTTTTATTTAGATTTAATATATTACTGCTAATTATAATCATTACTAATAATTATTTTACTGTTCTTACAACGGTACTGTACTGACTACTAATAATTACATATATAATCTTCAGTTACTAATATTTTAATATTACTATCCTATAATATATTGTAAAATATTCCTGCGTGACAAAAATGACCCACAATGCAATATAAACTACAGTATTTTACTGTAATAAAGAAATACGGTATTTTACATTAGGTTTCTACAGTACTGTGCATCTATATCTACAGTTACATCTAAGAGTGTAGCCATTCTGAAACTATTGCATTGTTAAATTAATACATATTTTAGAAAAAAAACTGTTTCTGCCAGAACCTCTGGATTAGGGTATTCCTATATCTTATAGGCTATGTAAATAGTCCATTCGAAATTGTAAATATTTAAATAGATTGTTTGATCTTCTCCCTCTCTTTTTAGATAAAAAACTATATATAATGTTTCTGTAAGTTTGTGATTAATTATGAAACTTTATTCATTCTGTTCAGCAGTTAGGGACAATGGTTGTTTAGTCTGGGAGAGTTGAAAGTAGAATTTGGGACAGTTGCAGGACACTGAGGACAAAGGTTAATTTAGAGCCCTGGTGTCTATTGATGTGTCATTTGTAAATGAGCTGGCACCTTTAAGTGAAAGATAGGAGCCTGCCCCGTCTGAGATAAATACAAATAAATATAAATAAACAAATACAAGACAGAATAATAGGATGATACTATAACACATTTGTTATAAAGCTAAAATCGGGAAATGACGAGACTTTTATATGTTAAATAAAATGTTCCATACACACGTGTAATAGTGATTGATGTTTTTACATTATTTGTTTTATACTAAGCATTATATAAAATTATGGTTTTCTGGAAATGATCAGGTTTAGCACTGAATAATTGAAAGCTGCAGTAGGTAACTTTCATAAAAATTACTTTTTGCTGAAACCTTCCCTATATCCTGACAGTAGTTAATGAGATGGATAATCTGTGAATCAGGTTCCTCTGGCTCCTCCTAGGCCTCCTAATGGTATTTGCAAGAATCCACTGGGCCTGAACGAAAAACAACCAATCAGAGCCAAGAAAGATAGAAAGACACTTTTGGCTGGTGACTTGAAGATAGTTGATTGTTAGTCTTACTGTCGCGCACACACACACACACACTCACACTAAATAAATGTATTCATTTATGAAGGCAACATGATTCACTCAAGAGAGTCCAGTTCATCTCAGGAATTGAAGTAAATATTCTGAGAGAAAAAAACAGAATCTAGTCTCTTCTCAGAGATTGTTTTTATTCCATGTTCTTCTAGTATGATCTTCTTTAATAGTGTGTAACACAAGTGATCTCAGAAATGGTAACAATAATAGGGATTAATCATTAAAAAACAGGACTGATTAACATCACGTTTTACAGCTGTAGGAACAACTGCAGATGTGTAAAATGGAGTACACAGTGTACCTGGATAGGGCACGAAACTACAGCAAGTGGCCTGAAAAGAACTAGCTTTACTTCATTGAGTGATTAATACTGAGATCCAATCTGCTTTCTTCGTTTTCTTCTTTTAGGAATGCGATCGTGTGTCAGAAACATGCTTCACAAGAAGCTCATGACAGTCCCCTTCTTTCCGACCTGGTGTGGCTGAAGCGTGTGGTACTGAATAACAATCCTGTGAATCAGAACAAAGCCATCAATCATTTACTGTGCATTCATTCAAATGTGAGAATACAGATTAGGTTCAAATGCAGCTCCAGGGGCCTCATGTACTAACG